TAAACTAACATCCTACACGGACGTCTGAATTTGAGGAATCCTAATCAGTAGGTAATCAGTACTGGCGATAAGACTAATCCTATTTCTACTCGCAAATATACCTCATCTACGTACAAATAAGATAAAAGCTTTCTACTTACCTGAAAAATATGTTTTCAAAACGTGGAAAGTTAACATTTAATCTTTTTACGCTTGGTAGAAAAAAATTGGTCTAAAGAGTTTAGACAGTACTTCCCTCGCTGTCGGAAATGTGACGACTGAATGCCTATTATGTTTTTTTTTTCGCAGTAGATTTCAAAGCATTCGGTTTTGTAGTTCCTGAGTAAATGAATAAAATAAATTTAGGAATTTGTTATTTTTTTTGAGTCACCCGCTATATGCAAATTCAAAAAATATGAATGGGATGATAAATTACAAGTACACACTCATCATATTTTGTACATTCTAAATTGGATTTATCCGGCAAACTTTTGAACTGACGTCATCAGTTTTTTGGAGAAGATAATCAAATATATTTTGACTAAAAATTTATTATGCTCTTTATAACCTTAAAACATCTGCAAAATTTCAAAACATTCCGTTCTGTAGTTCCTGATTAAATCAATAAAACACATTTATACGCATTCATTATTTTTTTTGGGTCACCCTGTATATGCAAATCGAAAAAATATGAACGGAATGATAAATCACAAGAAGAGACTCATCATATTTTGTACAGTTTAGATACGATTTATTCCGCAAAGTTTCGAGCTGACGTCATCAATTTTTTGGAGGGGATAAGCAAATATATTTTGACTAAAGATTTATGATACTCTTTAGAAACCAGCAAAAAATAAAATAACTAAAAATTAAAAAAATGTTCAAAAATCGGAAAAAAACGAACTAAAACCGAAAAATTATAACAATAAAACATCGAAAAGTTTAAGACTTTGGGAAATAGAAAATAGAAAAATTGAAAAATTGTAAAAAAAATAGAGAGAGGAAAAAACGCAAAATTGAAGGAAACATTAAAATGTCTAAAAAACTGAAAAATTGAAGAATGGAAAATCGAAAATTTGAGGAACTGAAAAATTAAATAATCGAAAAATTGAAAAGTTGAGACACCGAGAAAATTAATAATCAAAAATGAAAAACTTAAAAATTTTAAAACTGCAAGATTGAAAAAGTAAAAAATTTAACAATTTAACATATTTCTAAAAAATCGTAAGATTGAAGAAACGAAAAATTGAAACATCAAAACTTAAAAATCAAACTAAGTACTAAAAATCGGAATACTAAACATAAAAATTAATTTATTTTGTTTAGTTTGATTTATGTAATGAACACTTTCGTAAATAAATGGTTGTTATTTAAAAATCTAAAAATTTAAATCGAGAGACTGAAAAATTAAAAATCGAAAACTAAAAGTTGAAAAATTCCAAAATTCCAAACCACGAAAAATTAAAAAATACTACAAAAATCGGAAAAAATAGGAACATTGAAAAATTAAACTGCAAAACTTAGAAATTAAAAAATCCGAAAGGAAAACCAGAAAGAAAAACCCCAAGATTGCAAACCACCAAACAAATAAAATCACTAATCACTAATCACGAATCACTGATCATTGATCGTGATTTCGTGATTTCTTGGTTTCGTGATTTCGTGATTCGTGATTAGTGATTCGTGATTCGTGATTAGTGATCAGTGATTCGTGATTAGTGATTAGTGATTCGTGATTAGTGATTAGTGATTCGTGATTCGTAATTTTTTTTTCAATTTATTAAGTTTTAAAGTTTAAATGTTTCAGTTTTGAACTTTTCCATTTTGGGTTGTCTTGATTTTTAAATGTTTCAATTTTTCAATTTAGATTTCTCGGTTTTTCGATTTTTCAATTTTTAGATTTTTCATTTTTCGGCATTTAAATTTTAGAATTTTTCAATTTTCCGATTTTCGGTTTTTCTTCTACAATTCTTCGATTTTTAAAATTTTACATTTTCGATGTTTCAGTTGTTTTTCAATTTTGAGTTTTTCCGATTTTTTGATTTTACAATTTTTTGATATCTGATTTTTTTTTGGATTTTTCAGTTTTTCGGTATTTATATTTTCCGATTTTTCAGTTTCTGATTTTTCAATTTTTCGTTCTCGATTTTTCAGTTTTTCAATTTATTCTTTTTACTTCCCGAGCGTAAGCAAATGAAGTATTGTAATCGAGTCCGTCGGCCGACTCTCTACTTTTACGTTTTCTCGATCTTTCATGACACCTAGAAGATGAAGAAATAGGTCTCCCATTTCCGTCTATCTGTCCGTCTGTCCGTCTGTCTGCCGTCCCGGATTTTTATTAGACAGATAATCTCCGAAAGTACTGGATTATTGTGAAATTTTCTACTTAAATTAGCAATATCATGTAGATGGTAAAACGATAACCAAAATTTGTATAAAATAACATAGTCCTACATCTGTAGTTTACGACTCCTAATTGAGTTTTTAAGTGAGTGAGTGAGTGAGTGAGTGAGTGAGTGAGTGAGTGAGTGAATCACGAATCACGAATCACGAATCACGAATCACGAGTCACTAATCACCAATCACAAATCACTAATCACGAGTCACTAATCACCAATCACTAATCACGAATCACTAACCACTAATCGCGAATCACTAATCACGAATCACTAATCACTAATCACGAGTCACTAATCACTAATCACTAATCACTAATCACTGTTCACCAATCACTAATCACGAATCACTAATCACTAATCGCGAATCACTGATCACGAACTAATCACGAATCACTAATCACTAATCTAATTTTTTTTAGAGATTCGTGATTCGTGATTTCGTGATTTCGTGATTAGTGGTTCTTGATTCGTGATTCGTGATTCGTGATTAGTGATTCGTGATTCGTGATTAGTGATTCGTGATATTGTGATTTCATGATTAGTGATTCGTGATTCGTGATTAGTGATTAGTGATTCGTGATTTCGTGATTTCGTGATTAGTGATTTCGTGATTAGTGATTCGTGATTCGTGATTCGTGATTTCGTGATTAGTGATTCGTGATTCGTGATTCGTGATTCGTGATTAGTGATTCGTGATTAGTGATTCGTGATTAAAAAATAACATGGTCCTAAATCTGTAATTTACGACTCCGAATTGAGTTTTTAAGTGAGTGAGTGAGTGAGTGAGTGAGTGAGTGAATCATGAATCACGAATCACGAATCACTAATCACGAATCACGAATCACTAATCACGAATCACTAATCACGAATCACGAATCACCAATCACGAAGCACTAATCACCAATCACGAATCACTCATCCCGAATCACTAATCGCGAAATCACGAAATCAGTCGTCACGAATTACGAATCACGAATAACTAATCACGAATCACTTATCACTAATCACTAATCACTAATCACGAAATCACGAAATCACGAATCACTAATCACGAATCACGAATCACGACTCACTAATCGCGAAATCACGAATCACTAATCACGAATCACGAATCACTAATCACTGATCACTAATCACGAATCACAAATCACTAATCACGAAATCACTAATCACGAAATCGCTAATCACGAAATCACGAAATCACTAATCACGAATCACTAATCATCAATCGCTAATCACGAATCACTAATCACTAATCACTGATTTAATTTTTTTAGTGATTCGTGATTAGTGATTAGTGATAAGTGATTAGTGATTAGTGATTCGTGATTCGGGATTTGTTATTCGCGATTCGTGATTCGTGATTAGTGATTCGTGATTCTTGATTCGTGATTCATGATTCACTCACTTACTCACTCACTCACTCACTTAAAAACTCCGAAAGTAATGGACCGATTGTTGTGAAATTTTGTACTTAAATTAGCAATATCATGTAGATGGTAAAACGCTAACCAAAATCTGTAGTTTACGACTCCGAATTGAGTTTTTAAGTGAGTGAGTGAGTGAGTGAGTGAGTGAGTGAATCACGAATCACTAATCACGAATCACGAATCACTAATCACGAAATCACTAATCACTAATCACTAATCACGAAATCACGAAATCACGAATCACTAATCACGAATCACGATTTACAATCACGAAATCACGAAATCACGAATCACTAATCACGAATCACGAATCACTAATCACTAATCACTTATCACTAATCACGAATCACAAAAAAAATAGATTAGTTATTAGTGATTCGCGATTAGTGATTAGTGATTCGTGATTAGTGATTCGTGATTAGTGATTAGTGACTCCTGATTAGTGATTCGTGATTAGTGATTTCGTGATTTCGTGATTAGTGATTCGTGATTCGTGATTCGTGATTAGTGATTTCGTGATTTCGTGATTTCGTGATTCGTGATTAGGGATTAGTGATTCGTGATTAGTGATTCGTGATTCGTGATTAGTGATTCGTGATTCGTGATTTCGTGATTTCGTGATTAGTGATTAGTGATTCGTGATTCGTGATTAGTTATTCGTGATTAGTGATTTCGTGATTTCGTGATTTCGTGATTAGTGATTCGTGATTCGTGATTAGGGATTAGTGATTCGTGATTAGTGATTCGTGATTAGTGATTCGTGATTCGTGATTCGTGATTAGTGATTAGTGGATCGTGATTCGTGATTAGTGATTCTTGATTCGTGATTAGTGATTCGTGATTAGTGATTTGAGATTAGTGATTCGTGATTCGTGATTTGTGATTTGTGATTCGTGATTAGTGATTCGTGATTCGTGATTCGTGATTCATGATTCACTCACTCACTCACTCACTTAAAAACTCAATTCGGAGTCGTAAACTACAGATGTAGGACTATGTTATTTTATACAAATTTTGGTTAGCGTTTTACCATCTACATGATATTGCTAATTTAAGTATACTTGTCCAAAAGGTATATGGTTATATGACCATCATAAAAGTAGTTGACCGCATATAAATACCCCCTTTGTGTGGTTCGCACTAAGCTTACCGATTGGCAATAAATCGTCTTCTAAACATTTCTTGCTCACATTTAACAGAGCCGGCTTTCAGAGCGAGTGGTTATTTCGGAACCTTCAGCGGCTGCAGGTAGTAAAGAAATAGTAGAATGGTGGATTTTCATATTTAGTGAAAGCCGCCTTTGAACAAAACCAAAATAGCCGGTCGAGCTGCATTGGACAGGTTATTTACGACCCTAAAACCTTTTCTATTGTAAACAACTTCACTTCGACACAATGGGATGATTTTGTGATGGCCATATAACCTTATAACTCTTGGTCTACTATACAAAAGGACTAGTAATATGAAAGGCAACTGAAAATCGTTTATGTATAAACATTCTTAATTTAAGATGACAAGCGTGACAGCATACGTGAGAGTCAAACAGAGAAACTGTAAACAAAACGACCATCGGTTTTATTGCTTCGACTTCCGCTTATTATATAAAACATTGGGTTTTATTTTAATTCTTGACGGTGAAATTCACAATTGGTTGATTATAAACATGTCTATTCCACATTCGCGGAACCAAGTGAGCGCATAAAACAAATGCAGGTCTGTAATGTTAAAGTCGATGTAAATAAGCGTGCTACCCTTATGTTTCCACCGAGTTTTTACTTAAAAAAATTTTGTGTCTACCAAATTGGGTTGGTCCAATGCAATAGTAATAATAAGTGTTGCCTTTAATTTAATCAATAAAATAAATTGACTTCATTAATTTTTTAAGCCACCTCTTAAGAAAATCTAAACAATATGAATGAAGTGATAAATCACAAGTACAGACTCATCATATTTTTACGCTTTAGATAGGATTTATTCGGCAAACTTTCGAGCTGACGTCATCAAATTTTTTGAGGGGGGATTAGCAAATACATTTTGATAAAAAAGTTTAATACATCTCCTATGTTTCAAAGCATTCGGTTTTGTTGTTCCTGATTAACTCAATAAAATAAATTGACGCATTCATTAATTTTTTTCGGTCACCCTGTATATGCAAATCGAAAAAATTTGAATGGAATGATAAATCACAAGAAGAGACTCACCATATTTTGTACATTTTAGATAGGATTTATTCAGCAAAATTTTGTGGTGACGTCATAAATTTTTTAGGAGGGGACGACCAAATACATTTTGATCAAAAATTTACCATGCTTATGATAATTTTAAAACATCTTCAAGATTTCGAAGCATTCGGTTTTCCAGTTCCTGAGTAAATCAGTAAAATAAATTTTGCGCATTCATTAATTTTTTTGAGTCACCCTGTATATGCAAATCCAAAAAATATGAATGGAGTGATATATCACAAGTACAGACGCATCATATTTTGTACATTTTAGATAGGATTTATTCGGCAACCTTTTGAGCTGACGTCATCAAGTTTTTGGAGGGGATAACCAAATATATTTTGACTAAAGATTTATGATGCTCTTTAGAGCCTTAAAACATCTGCAACATTTTAAAACATTCGGGTTAGCAGATTCAAAATTAAATTGCAAAATGTTGTTTTATGATTTTGATTTTTTTTCCAAAAATCTGGACGTTTCGGGTAAAAACTGAATTCGGAGTCGTAAACTACATGTGTAGGACTATGTTATTTTATACAATTTAAGACCCATTTACTATGTACAATTTTTAAGTGACGTCATCGCATTAGTGGTGGGGATGATTAGACAAATTTTGGTTAGCGTTTTAGTAGTACAAAATTTCACAACAATCGGTCCAGTACTTTCGGAGATTATCGGTCTAATAAAAATCCGGGACGGCAGACGGACAGACGGACGGACAGACGGACGGACAGACAGACGGAAATGGGAGACCTATTTTTTCGTATTCTAGGAGTCATGAAAGATCGAGAAAACGTAAAAGTAGAGAGTCGGCCGACGGACTCGATTACAATACTTCCTTTGCTTACGCTCGGGAAGTAAAAAATTAACGGCACGTCATATGACCCCGGTTAGAATACACACATAATATTTTGTTAATATTACAGTTTGTAGTTCTATAATCTTAGGGATGGTTCCATGTAAAAGGTCACAACAATGTCGAGGTATAATTACTTGGTCATCGTGTTTGGGTTTGTAATGATATAATTCTTGCCTGAATGCCCGTTAATTTTCCGGATCAATGGTAGGTCTGATCAAAATAATAATATCTAACAAACCAATTATAATACAATAAATGTAAATACAAATAATTTCAAAATCCATAGCAATTGTTTAATACATCAGCAGCTATTATAGATTACTACTGATCCCAGATAGGACAGTTAAAACAGTAGGTCCAGTAGTCAACTTCATCCTGTCATTCATTCATTATTATTATTATTATTATTATTATTATTATTATTATAGTAGTAAGTTGACCAACAGGTCAAAGCCCAATTACAGGTCAACTATAATACGCCTTAACATGAAGAAAGGAAGAAATACTGCAGCTATAATTACTGGAGTTCTTAGATAAGAGTTCAGCATGCCAAGGCGATATCAAAACTGAATTAAATATGTACATAAAATAGTAAAAAAAAAAAATAATAAAAAATAAATAATAAAAAAAAAATACGGAACTAATACTAGACAAAGTTATCTAAAGATATCAAAGACATACGGATCTAAGTTATACTGGTGACACATTTCATAGACTGGAGAGTGTTTTTCGATATTTAGACGAGGAGTTGGAAGATATAAACATTGATTAGATCGAGATGACATTCTAGGTACCAAGATGAATATCTTACCAAGAAGATCAGCGCAATCAACGTGAAAATTTATCACATTACGAAGAAATTTGAACGAGGCGATACACCGTCTAGTACTTAAGGCTTCTACTTTAAATCGTTCTAACAAGACAGAGTGAGGAATACCTCTGACTGGATAAACACCATCCTCCTTAAATGCTGTGTATTTTAAAAAACGTCGTTGTATGTTTTCCAGATGGTTAATACGATTTTGTGTGAAAGGAGCCCAAACAATACATGCATACTCGAGCTTTGAGCGAAAGTAAGCAAAGTACAGCAGTCGCAAGCTATCAACCTGTGTAAAATCTCTACCACACCTTATAATAAAACCAAGTGACCTGAAAGCACTATTACATATATGTTCCACATGATTAGCAAAACTGAGCTTACAATCAAAAATGACACCTAGATCTTTAAATGTATCCACTCTAGCAAGACTCATGTTGTTTAATTTATAGTCGAATTGAATTTGTGTGCACTTATTGGTAATGGTCATTATGTGACATTTCTTATAGTTCACTGGGAGTAAGTTAGACAAACTAAATTCATGAAACCTATTTAAATCATTTTGCAACAAGATGCAGTCCTCTATGGTTGAGACGTCTTTATAAATCTTAAGATCATCAGCATATATTAAAACGTTAGATTTTATGTTCTTAACAATGTCGTTAATGTAAACAATAAACAGAAGAGGGCCCAGTACGGAGCCCTGAGGCACCCCCGAGGGAACAGGTCTTTTTATCGACTCGTGTCCATAATATGTAACGCACTGTAACCTATTAGATAGATATGATTCAATTAAATTAACTAATGAAACAGAGAGACCAATATTACTTAATTTTGCCAATAGAATTACATGATTTAATTTATCAAATGCCTTAGAATAATCAGTGTATACTACATCTACCTGGAGCTTGGAATCAAGTGAGTCAGCTGCAAATTGAGTAAATGTGCATAAATTTGTAACCGTGGATCGACCGTTGACAAACCCATGTTGATATTCACTAATTACATTTCTGAAATTAAAAAGAAGATGCTTGTGTAATATTATTTCAAAAACTTTTGAAAAATTACAAATTAATGATATGGGCCTGTAATTTTCAATTACATTTCTTTCGCCAGTTTTAAAAATTGGAGATACTATTGATAGTTTCCATATTTCAGGAAATTTACAGGTTCTTAGAATCAAATTAAAAAGAATTGTTAGAGGTGGAGTTAGTATACAGGCACAATCTGTCAGAATAAAGCCTGGAATATTGTCATGTCCTGAACACATATTAGGTTTGATCTTTTTCAGAGCGTTTAGAACATCTGATTCCGAGATAGTGTTTAGATTTATTATTGGATTTAACATTTGATAATCAGCAAAGTCGTCAGCGTTATTCACGGTGCAATTATTATAATTACTGGAAAAATATTCTGCAAATGCATTGACAATATCATCAGGTTTGTTAAGAAGTTTATTTGAGTAGCTCAGCTGCGAAGGTATACCCGTATGCCTACTAAGGTTGTTTACATGGAACCAAAATTTACTGGGATCAGATTTAATATTCACCTCAACGTTAGTTATATATCGTTTGTATTCTAAGTCGATGTCACGTTTTATCTCAGACCGTATCTTTTTAAACTTGCTATGTATCTCAGTTTCATTGATAGTTGATTTAAGCTTACGGTGTAGGGTGTTTTTAAGTTTCAATTTCTTTATATTGACTGGAGTAAACCAAGGCGGAAAGCATATTTTAAGGGAACGACGAGTTTTGGGAACATGTAAGTTGAGTGCATTATTTAGTTTATCGTAAAATATACCAGAAGCAATATTAATATCACTAATGCTGTTAAGTTCAGTCCAGTTGATTTTCATTATCTCTTTATACAAATTTGGGTAATCAGCTTGTCGAAAGTTCCAGTGGGCATTAACTATTCCACTGTGAATAATTGAGTTGGTTTTTTTGCCACGCTGAGTTTTTGAGATAATCAGAGAGGGATGGTGAACATCCTCATCCACTAAAGAGTCATCACACTTATCAACAGAACAATAAAAACTACCAATAACCAAGTCAAGACAACGTTCATTAATATTATTAACGTTATTGTACTGTTTGTAGTTGCAGAAATTGAGAAAATTGAACAGGGATGAAATTTTTCTGTTACTTGTCACAGGAAGCGACAAATTTGAACTGTAATCTGGTAGATTAAAATCACCTACTATGAGAACATTATGATTATTTGATTCAGTTATATTGGCTAATATGTGAAATATCAGTTCAAATTCCTCAATAGTTGCCTTCGGTTGTACATATATTACTACAACGTAAATATTGAAATAATTTATAGAGCATTTAACAGCAAGCAATTCACTATACCGCAGTGAATTATAACCCTTAGATGTAAGGTCAATGGGTTGTAATGCAAACTCTCGACGACATGCAAGTAATACACCTCCACCTTTGGTTACAGTCATTTTATGCATATTTCTATCTGTCCTTATCACTTGAAGATGGTTTGGACAAAATTCAGCGTCTAAGACAGAAGAGCTGAGCCAAGTTTCAGATAGACAAATAAAATCATAGGGACAACAAAGTATGGAATTCCGCAGTTGTATTAATTTGGTGTTTAGTCCTCTAACATTTTGATAGTAAATCAGTATATTAGAATGAGAAATACTATTTGAAGAACTATTAATACAGCTAAAATTTAATGAAGAGGAAAGAGTGCTAATTGAGGACACCTGATTATAGACTGGGAGGGTATTTACAGTAGTAATATTCTTGTCCGAGGCCACAAACGATGTGGATTGCTATATGGGGAGACCAAAGACATCTTGCTTGATTTTGTTAACCGCTAGATTATAAGCATGACAGCTGTTGTAATCCCAAGCAGCATAATTTGTATCAATATCTTGGCTTTTAGCATCACGCTTTAGATTAAAACAGTTACCACAACACAAATTTTCTGCTTTACAATCTTGTATTTTATGTTTGTCAGAGCACTTAGGACAAGATAGTTCTTTGTTACACTTAGATGAAGAATGATTAAAGCCATTACACTGGAAGCATCGGGAAACACCAATACCGGAGTATATAGAGCAACCATCTAGACCTATGAGACAGTGACCCAGGCTCAGTGCTCTTTTGTATGTAGAAACATCTACTTCTACTAATACCTGGAAACGGTCTTCATTATTTTTTATCTTAGAGAATTTTATCAACTTATATTCGCTGTCTTTATCAAAAATTATTTCATTCTGCTTAACCAGATATTTTAAGATGTTATTTTCATCAACACTATCAGAGATTCCCGCAATTCGAATACGTGGACGCAAGGTTTTAACTACTTTAATATCATAATCATTGTATAATTTATTAGTCTCTGAAAGTTGCTTAAATTTACTGACGTCATCACAACCCAGTAACACGCTTCCCTCTTTAAGATTTTTAACCTTCCCTATGTTTAAAGAAGATTCAACGGGGTTAATTTTAGACAAGATATCTGATTTGGTTTTATTAATAGGTTGTTCTTTGTCTTTCGGCTTCACAATTACAGTTTGTTGCGAATTTTTTGCAATCGCGTCAGCATAAGAAGTTTTAGTACTGACATCAGTAGGAGTCAAGTTACACTCAGAAGTTGGTCTGCTTTGGCATAATTTGTTTAATTTCTCTATTTCTCCACGAAGAAGACTATTTTCAGTTGTAAGATTTTGAAGGCGTGATTCCATAAGGTCTATTTTAGTAATTGCAGATTTTAATTCAGCACGAATAATTGATTGCACCAATTGTTTAAACTTATCCACCGGGAGGTTTATATTTTGAGAGCTGTCAAAGTTATTGGAATCTGCATCAGAAGATACAATTTTTAATTTGCAAAATGTACAGCTCCATTTAGTAAGTGAATTATCCTCTAGCATTTTATTATATATTTCATCGGTTAATTGCCCACATGGTAGATGGTAATTGTATTTACACTGCTTACACGAAATATATAAATCGCTTCTCCCGATTGTGCGTGAACACTTGTTACATTTAACTGCCATTGTGATTAAATTATTAATTTGTTATAATAAACCACCTCCAAGAGGAGGTAGCACAAGAAGGAAAAACACTCAGTGATAGCACTACAGATAGTACTCAGACAAAAAGAAAGGCGATAAGATATTAACGATGGCTAATTGTAGACTAATTTATCGGAGTTTTTCAACTCTGATCCGAGGCAATTAGACCCAAAAGCAAGAAAAAAAAAAACAACTCACCGACCCTCCAAGGGGCCAAGTCAGCCACTCAATAGAAAAATCCGAAACTGCTATGCTCAAACAACGAATCAATCGAAGAAGAAATTTAGCACGTCCGTCCGCATTCACTACTCACACAGATATGTTTGTTGTTTTATACTATGTAGTGATTATATCTCGACTGCCTTCGTATTTCTTTAATAATATAGTGAGACATTAACTTTTTAGAAAATTTTAGGTTGTATAGTATGTTATATAGAGAGTTAGCATAAAGTCCCGGAACGGTCGAATAATTTTATTTGAAAAGATTTTTTTCTGAAATTTGCTTTGGATGTTAAACATGATGACTTGATTACAACGATTTGAGGTTTTTTTTTGGCGCTTCATAACCTAAGAAAATGAAAATGTTAGTTTTAGATTCATTCCGCGTATCTATCATGTACGACGTCAGAAACAACCGCCGTTTTTTTCAGTAAAAATTGCCGCCGTTGAAGAAAGAATTTGATGTCATTCTTCTATCGAACACCCAGATTAAGGGAATCACTCGAGATTTGATAATTTTGATAAGGTTCGATAACAATGGCTGTCGAAAGAAAGTTCCTTGTATACTGTGTATTTTTTGTTTAGTGTTTATTATTATCATCATCTTAATTCTGAGACACCCTGTATATAAAAAGAAAATAGGAAAATGCACGTAAATTGTTCATAAACCTTTGTTTTTATTGATAAAATAACAGATTTTTAGAACTATTTATAATTTTAAAGTCCAGTATGGTTTTGGATCCAGTCTCTGTAAACTGCCGTCCTGGTGTATCCAGAAGGAGCACCGCTTTCGCATCCTTCGGTACTAACAAAACTGGCTATTGCTACGTGAACTGGATTTGAACCTGCATTAATCACCACTGGGCCGCCACTGTCACCCTAAAAACAATCATTATGTTAAAACATCCTTAAAAATTAATTTATATATATATATACTTACGGTGCAGGTACTTCTGACTTGAGATGAGGGAGAATCAGCACAAACCATTTCAGGTAGAATCGAGCCATAATAATTTTTACATTCTGTGTTCGAAATGGTGACCAGTTCAACGTAATTCAACGAGTCGCTGATTGTAGTTCCATCTATGGAAATGGGAAAAATTGTTTTGACAAAAAAAATAAAGTGTGTTTAATGTACTAACCATCGCTAGTTAAACCCCAACCGCTCACCGTAATGCCAACATTTTCACCAAGTTCTTCAGAAGACAAACTGACGGCAATCGTGTTTCCTACATAAGTATTTTGTACAACAACTGCTAAAGGAGGAGTTCTTGTAATTCTTACCACCAAGATTTAAAGGTGTCCTGAGTCTGATAAGTCCAATATTGTTGGCAAGAAGATCGTTGTCATAGTCTTCATGAAGAATAAGTCGAGAGGAATCTGAAACGTCGCCTCCATAAGCATCCGTGGATCCACTTACGATTGTCGCCGAGTCAGCCCTGGTAGATGAAATAAATGTAATGATTTTGGATAAAGTACGCTATGTATTACCCGTTGATGCAATTTCCAGAAGTTAAGATCCATTCTTCGCTGATTATGCTGCCTCCACAGAACCAAGTGCTTTCACTACTAGACAAAAATAAAGCAACTTGCCAAGGAAATTGACCTTCTGCTGCTTGATTTCCATTAATAATTCTAGCACCTATATAAAATAATTATAAAAACATAGATGTGCAATACAGGTTAGAAAATACTGACCTGGAACCTTAGAGGGGAGGACCTTTGAGTGGGCTGGTGAAGAGGGCAACGCCCAGGTAGCTGACGCACACAAGCAAAGAACGGCAAATCGGAACATTTCGCTTAATGATTTTATTCTATTCAGATTGGTGTTTTTATACTTGCATTTTGAGTGTATTTTGCGAATCGCCGTAATTGTGTTACTTATCACACAATACGCTTTTACTATACATACTTGAGATGTATATCTAACCAATTGAATACTATACTGATTTCCATGAAAATCCGAACACCTTGAATTAATTGACTGATAAAACTGAAAGTTTCACCAAATGTGCTTTAAATCGAACTAAATAAATGATTAAAATAACAGGCCTAAAACTTGTGAAATAAAAAATTTATTTAATAATGTGTGGCATGATTGAAATGTGTCCTGTATCCAATGGGATCTCGTCCCAAGCTTTCTGAAGGCGCATACGAAGGTCATTTAAATTATTCGGGATATGCTGCAAGTTACCTAGACGTGTGCCCATGATATCCCACACATGTTCGACTGGTGACAAATCTGGTGAACGAGCAGGGCAGGAGAGAACTTCAACATTATGTTGTTGTAGGTACTCCGTTGTGACTTGCCGTATGTAGGCGTGCATTGTCTTGCTGACATAGGGGTCGATCTAACCCTCTGAGTTAAGGAACTGCAATCGCCTCCAGTACTGTATCGATATAATACCCCTCAAACTGTAAAACGCGCTTACCACCCTTAATACTTAAATAACTATATATTAACCTTTAGTTGTTCAAAATTGCAAAAAATCTTGTATATGACACGTTGCAAAACTGTGAGAAACTTCACGTCTGGAGCGAAAAAAGCGTTCATTTTGCAACTTGATATATATTGTCTTCATATGCTCATCATTCTTTACTTATGTAACAACCAATTCGTGTATAAAATTTCATTTAAAAATATCGACGTTTTTTAATAATAATAATAATATATATTTCCTTCCAGACTTACAGTCTATAGCGGAACTTAAATACAAATTAGAATTCACTATAATAACATGTAACTAATAATTAATAAATGCTATGTATGACGAATGTACAACAAAAAATAAAAAAAATACAACAGGGTGGTACACAACCCTCTAATTAAGCGTGCATCATATGGTCATTATATAAAATCGCAAATAATTTTTCCTTATGTTAACTTTACGGAAGTTATCATAAAATATGTCTACAACTTTTCCTACACTGATATTATAAAGCCTAAGAGTAGTTATTAGTGGACTGTTGAAATGATGTTGTGTTCGCGGAATATCAAAATAATAAGTTATTGATGTTCGATTATTTGTTCTTGGGCAGACAAAATGTAATAAATCTAAAAGCACTGGGCAGTTTATTTGGCCATGAATAAGTTTTTGTAAAAAAATTAGAGATGCAACTTTTCTACGGGCCCATAGTTGGTCTTCATTAACTGCACTGCATAAAATAACAGTTTCACAATGAAAAGGGGGATA